AACTTTCAGACGTTTGAATCCTGAATATGAGTGGATTTTTCTTATAATTAAATGCAAAGAATACAAAAATGGGACATGGAAAAAAAATATTATCTAACAAAAGTCCTGAAAAATAAAACACAAACGCAAAAAGTAAACTCTAAAAATATTTGTTGGACTTTTTGAATTACGCTTAAAGCCTTTTTTGAGAAATTACTCAGATCTCCTTTGAAACATTTATTTTGCTTTAGATAATTCTGGCACTAATTTTATCTCCATAGACTTCCTTTTGTTCGTCCATAGCTTTTGTTCGTTGGACCACTACCAGTAAAACAGCCCCGCAGCATGATGCTGCCACCACTATGGAACAGCCTTGTTGTCATTGGGTTCAAATGCCCTAAATTATGTCACATTTAAGCATAAAACCAGAACCCTTCAGTTTCTCCATGTGGCTCAGCTCAGGTTGGAGATGGAAATAGATGCTAACCATAAGCAGGGCGTACACTGTATGATTTCTTTTGCCTTTTTTCTCCTTTTGTGAGAGAATTTTTCAATCCGGCCGACTTTCAGCCTGATAGTGTGTGGTGTAGTGTACAGGGGGTAACGAGGGGCGATCAGCCTCTAACGACCATCAGGAATCGTGAGGTCAGGAGAAAATCAACCATGTTTGAAATTCAGTCGGCCATCTTAAGGTCTTCTTCTTCCTCTCAGATGAAAATTAGTTCTTTCTGTAAAATTGAGAGACCGTAGTAGCCAAGTTTTTTCCGCCATGTCTTGTCCAAATATGTCGTCTCCTTTTCTTTTTAGGGCTTTCAGCCAAGGCAGCGCGTTTCACTCTAGTGAGCTTCATATTCCTCTTCTACTGGTTTGACTTCCGGATAGACAAGTCCGAGTAGCGCCATCTCACTGCGGAGCTGAGTCCCACCTGGTTTTTATTTGTACAGTGTGAGCAGGTAGATCACATCAGAGCGTCCGGTCGCACAGTGTGAGAACAAACATTGTGAGCGGTGAAGTTTTAAAAACTGCGATTTCATCGTACAGTTTGAGCTGTAGCTGTGAGCGACAACTGAAAATATTGCACAGTGTACGGCTAGCTTTATCCAACTAAAAAAACTAAATCAGAGGTCACAGATTAGCCGACCGCGATCCGGACCCACCTGCTGCTAATTCGTACCCCACTTGATTTAAAACAT